AACCTTCCAAGTCAGTCGTTTCTTAAATTACTTGCTTTGACGGTGGATAATGCTATTCACAGCAACTAATGACGAACAAATGACTCTTCAGGCTTCTGCAGCTATAGTCAATGGCTTGATTTTCTGCTGGCTCTACAAACAATCCGTAGCCTTCTGGACAGCGGAGAGAGAGCTAGTTGAAAAGGGGCAAGGTGGAACGCGCTCAGATGACGGCGTATAGACGTAACGACGGTAAGAACGTCTCCTTCACAGAACCTGCTGCGGTGCAAGAAAAAGGCTTCAAAGCATGGCCTGGATATAGGGAGCATGGAAACAATAAATGCCAGTTTCCCAGAAAAAGTGACGCTGGGAGAACATACGACAGGAGAAGACTTGGCCAATCAGAAAGGCATGTTAGCGTTATGAGCGGTCCATAAGTTTCTCATGCAATTAGTCGTGTACTTTGCTCAAAACTTCCCAACGGAACAGGACAGGACGTACAACCCGCGTTTTAGAGGCTCCTGGTGATGCAGCAGGATATTGCCGTCTATAGTGTGGTGCTACAACTCGTGAGCAATTAATTGTCGAGTTCTTGAAACATTTTCTTAAGGCTCATCATGCGTCCGAACAACCGAGCATATCTTTCGTTACCACAGTGTTGCAAGCTGTCTGTTAGGGGTCTCGGTTACATATAACGTCCTGTTGTATAACTCATATCTAAGGACTGCGCAAAGCTGAATTTTAATATGCCGGAAACTTCGGCACTCTTTCACTGGAGCGGTGTAAAAAGCAAGGTATCATTTTGTGTTTTCTTCATTTGTCAGCTTCCTGAGAAAGCACCAACGCAAGTATATAGGAAGAATGGGTTCTCCGATATCAGTGAGAACGAACATTGGACAGAATACCAGGATCCTGATGAGCCTGTGGAAGGCCTCCTCTTCGCTTTCTTCCTAAATAAGTTGTTTGTCCTTCTTGACTAGTTCCGTTAGAAATGCAGAACGTGAGAGAAACCGTGGATGAAGTAAGGGTAGTAAGGTGGTAGCGTGAGTGACTTTTGAACTGCTGCGCGATTGGACAGGAGAAGCAGCAATGGCCGAAT